ATCCTCCTGCCTCAGGCCTCCCGAGTAGCTGGGACTACAGGCACGCGCCACCATGTCTGGCTAATTAATTCTTTTTCTATATATATATTTTAATTTTCCAGCTAATTTCTTTCTATTTTTAGTAGAGACAGGGTCTCGCTCTTGCTCAGGCTGGTCTGAACTCCTGAGCTCAAACAATCCACCCACCTCGGTCTCCCAGAGTGTTAGGATTACAGGTGTGAGCCCAGCCCCAGCATAGACTCTTAACTCTTACACTTTTTAATGTTTATAGGATTAGGCAGATTTTCCATTTCTACTTGAGTCAGTTTGGTAAGCTACTTTGGTAAGCTTTTAGAAATTTGTCCATTCTAAGATAATGACACTGGGATTTTTTAGTTTTTTCTAAAGTCATTGTGATACATTACTTTTTTAAAAAAGAAATTTGTTCATTCTAAGTAAATTTTCAAATTTTTGGCATAAGGTTTTTCATAATGTAATCTTATTTATTTATTTTTGAGACAGAGCCTCGCTCTGTTGCTTGGGCAGTGGCGACACCATAGCTCACCGTAACCTCAAACTCCTGGATTCAAGCTATCCTCCTGTCTCAGCCTACCAAATAACTAAGTTATTTATTTAAAGGTTCCCATAGTTTGATCATTCATTCAAGATTCTGATTGTGAATGGTGTTTTTGCCATGTTGGAAACTGTATTATGCCTTATTTGTAATTCATAAAATTCTAATGGAGAGGAGGCTCGCTGTATGTTAGAAAAAACAAAGCTAAATCTTGAAAATGTGGTAAATTTACAAATATAAAAATATTGTAACTAAAATAACACATGATGTCATTTCAGAATACTTTGGCTATCTAAAGAGTTAAAAGAAAAATTTTATTTTGTTTTTACAGAATTCCATAGTACTCTCCACGCAGTTGGCTACATTGGGACAGAAGCCTACAATATTTACAATTTTGAGGAGAAAAGTTTATGTGCCAGATGGGAACATAAATAATGGGTATTTAATTTTTAAATTTCAAATATAAAATTCAGATTTCAAATTCAAAAAAATAAATCAGCAACTTAGATTAAAAATGTAATTTTATGGAATATATCTTATATGTAATTTGCAAGTGCCTTCTTTTATGATATATAAAAAAATTGTGATAATCACCATTAGTTACCAACTCAGAAAATGGCAATCACACTCTTGGATTATAATTTTACAGTTTGTGTTAATACCTAAACCTCAATCCAAGAGCCTCATTTGGGATGGCGGCATACAAATAATGTTGTTCCTTCATAATATTGAGGAGAAAAAAATTGATTTTCATCTAAGGCCACTGTCTGTATGGAGTTTGCCTGTTCTCCTCATGTCTGTGTGGGTTTTCTCTGGGTAATCCAATTTCCTCCCACATCCCAAAGCTGTGTGTGTGAGGTTCATTGGCATGTCTACACGGTCCCAGTTGGAGTGATTGTGGCTGTGAGTATGAGTACGCCCTGCCGTGGAATGGTGTCTTGTCCAGGGTTAGTTCCTGCCTTGAGCCCTCCGCTGCTGCTCCAGTCACCCGCAACACTGAACTGGAATAAGTGCGGTTGAAAATGAATGAATGACTACAAATTATTATGAAATAAAATTTGTAAAGTATACAATAATCATACAAATGCACAACAATAAACAATGCAGTATAAAAGCACTCAGGAGCCACTGTGTTTGTGATTATTTTTGAAATGCATGGTGGTAGGAGGTGCCCCTTCAATTTTTGCTTTACAAACATTTATTTCTTGACTTAACCCACCACCACATTTGCAGAAATATAGACCTTTTAAAGGATGGGTTCTCCACTTCAGGCAATTACTGTTTAACTACAGTTGATAATTTTGATCATCCCATCTCCACTGAAGACAATCTCGTGACCTCCACCCAGGATCTCCCTTCACTAGGCCATCTCCTGTTGCACAAATGAGCAAAAGATTTATTCTTCCCCTCCCAACCACTGGTGTGAGGCAAGGATGCAGGCTTTAGTTCACAAAAAGGAGTGGAGGGCCCAGCGTGGTGGCTCATGCCTGTAATCCTAGCACTCTGGGAGGCCGAGGCGGGCGGATTGTTTGAGCTCAGGAGTTCGAGACCAGCCTGAGCAAGAGCGAGACCCCGTCTCTACCAAAAATAGAAAGAAATTAATCGGACAGCTAAAAATATATAGAAAAAATTAGCCGGGCGTGGTGGCGTGTGCCTGTAGTCCCAGCTACTCGGGAGGCTGAGGCAGGAGGATGGCTTGAGCCCAGGAGTTTGAGGTTGCTGTGAGCTATGATGATGCCACGGCACTCTAGCCCAGGCAAGACAGTGAGACTCTGTCTCAAAAAAAAAAAAAAAAAGGAGTGGAGGATGTTTTAAAGAGACAGAAAATATTTTTGCCATTTTTTTTTTCCAGACCATTCCTTCTGTTACATCCCTAACCTACTATCCATCAGGTGTGTAAAGTAAAGATATTTTCAGATATTCGGGGTCTCCAAAAAATGTGTGTTCATATACGCTTTCACAGGAAGATACTGAAGAATGTGCTTTAGCAAAACAAGAAAGATCAGTAAATGGTGGCTTAGGCCCAGAGAGTAATGAAACAAGTACTAGATTACCTCTACATTTACCACAGGGAGAATATTAGAAACACTATTTTAACTACCTATTACAAAACTTAGAAAACTAAAAATTTTTAATGAAATAATTATTAACTCCAGGAAAATTTAAAAAGAAAACATAATCATAGTAGAACTGGCTCAGTAGTAAGCAATATTTACGTAGTTGTAACAATATAAACACTCTGTTGATTTAACTAAAAAGTTAATATAATTAATTTGAGAGATGGGGAGAAAATGTATCGGTAGGCATGACCTATGAGAGATACATCTTCAGCTGCTATATAAGAAGGCTATAGATGATGTATAAAAATTCTATATTAAGAAAGAGCAGTATAAGAATATTTATTTGATTCTGTGTGATTGGTACACAAAAAAGAGGAAAAAAGGAAAAAAAAGTATTTATTTGACAATGTGGAGACATTGCAGAAGAGTGAGCTATAATAGTCAAGATTGTTTTCCTTTGGGACCAGAGTGAAGAATGAGAAGAAATCTGGCAGTGGTAGCATTATAGTATTATTTTATTTGTTTTACCCAGGTTTATGTTGATTAAAAAAATTTTTTTAAGATGATAAATTCAATATTGTGCAAGATGGATCAAAGGAGGGAGAGATAATTTTATTCTTTTTTTTTTCTCTTCATAGGACCTGGCGTATCACAGTCCCAATGACAAGAGATGATGTGCTAAAGGAGATTAAAGGAAATCAAGTGACTTTTCAAGATTGCTTTATTGCAGATGCTTTTTTCTTGCTGACTTCTTCTTTGTTAACCATGCCTGAGATTCCTGGTTTTTTACCAATCTCATCACAAACTGGTAGTCAGTTAATATCTTCCTGGAATCCTTGTGTTCCTTCATGTGCTGTTGTAGTAGCTGATACGGAGACCTATCAAACAAATGATTCATTCCATACTTGGACTAGAATCAGAGTGCCTCCAAACGTTCTGAGTGATGATGAAAGACAGAGTGTGGCTCACGTGACCCTGTTGCATGACGGAATATTTTTTATAATAAATGGCATTCTTTACCTAAAAAGTTTTCATGCATTTAAAAGACTAGGAAGAAATGAAAATATTCCTGATGGTGGAATTATGGGCATTACATCAAGAAAATGGTGTTGGATCAAGTATTTACTCAAGGTTAGTAAAAGATTATATATATGTATATCACACATACACATTTAGATATAGTTACCATACCGTTTATTCGGTAATATATCAGAGACTTTGCTATGTAGCTTTTGCACGGTTATTTTATCTAAGGCTATAAACAGCTCTATCTTTCTGACCCAGCTTCTCAGAGGCCTCTTTATAGCAGAGTTGCACCTCCAACGACAAAAACTAAAATTAATCTTGTATGTTATTATGTGGTTCTGTCATATTAAGGAAGCTTTGTTTTACCTTAATATGGCCAAAAAGGCCCCCTCAAAATTATTTTCCCCAAAGACTCTAGGAGCTCTCAAAAATGGATTAAATCTTCCATGTCCAACAATGTGGTGGATAAGATGTCTGGAATCTTTCCTCTTACAAAACACCTAAAATGCTGTGTAAAAATGTTAAACCTTCTTTTAAGTACATTTCTGGGCTTGTATGAAAGTAAGGGAAATCCTGGAAGAACGGAAGATATCCTGAGCACTAATCCAAAGGCAAAAGAAAATTCCAAAATCTCAGCTGCCTTCAGGTCGTATGCAGATCCCAGGTAATTAGACCTCTGGTGCCAGGATACAAAGCCCTGGGCCTGAGCATCTGATAATAATTTTTTGCATACAACAAGGGCCTTCAGAGGGTTTCCAACACAATTAAGTCTATCTCAGCTTTAACTCTTAGAAGGGGGAAAAGTTTCTGTTTAGAATTCATGAGGAGATGCCAACTCATATGCACTTTGGAGCCCAAATTCACAGTACCTACTGGTTAAAAAAAACATTAAGCCAAGCATCAAGCAGAAGAAAACAAAAATCCTGTCTGGAAAAATAAATCTTCAAGTCATGCTTTGAAGAATTTCTATAAAGAATGTTCCCACAGAATTGAACTTACATTCAAAAATGGTAAAACATGCAAAGAAACAAGGTACCATGGGAGTCAGCAGAAATAACAAAGAGCAGTATCATTCCTGTAAAGACATCAAGTATTGGAATTGACAGAACATAAAATGTATTTAATAGATTTAAATAAATGAAAAAGAAAATGGAAAACATAAATAAAGAAAAAAATAGTCTATCAAATAGCAAGAGATAATAAAACTAAAAGCAAGGAAGTTATTACTATAAAATTTAGCATAGTGGTTATCCTAGAAAGGAAAGGTAGTGATTGGGAAAGGGCAGGCGTAGTAATTTGGAAGTTCTGGTAATATTCTATATCTTAATCTGTATAGTCATTACACAGACTTTTGCTTTGTGATAAATCTGAGCTGTATGCATTTCTGTTTGGTACTGTGAGGGTGAGGGGAAACTTCCCCTTTTCCACCGCAAGTTCACTGAAAGATCAACTCACAATTGAGGCAGATTAATAAGAGAAAGAAGTTTATTTACTGTGCACACAGAGAGAGTCACAGAGTGATTACCCCCTGTCCCAATAGGGTCCAGAAATTTATTTACCCTCCTTTTGGAGGGGAGGGAGAGAGGAGGAATATACATAATTATGTTTAGGGCAATAAATGGTTGCTAGGGAGAATGAATAGATACTTGGGAGAATCAATGAATGGGGGGAAACAGATTGACTTGTAAATTAACCTGAGAGACTTAAAATGATTTGGGCCAGCTCTGGTTGCATTCTTAATCTTCTTTTCTGCAATATATTGAGATAACAGGGAGGGGAAGGGAAGTCAATTGTTCTTATTGAGGGGTCCGCCTGGTTTATACAGATAGAGGGGAAGCCCCTTCCAAGGCCTGTTGATCTCTAAGGGCCTTTAATTCAAAATACTCTTCATACCAAGGAGTCATATTCTGGGGATTGAGGTCTTGAGTACCCAATGTCTCTTTCATTCCCATCCAGGCACCAGGTCCCTTCCATGGAGCTGGACATCTCGGGTTTGATAGGCCAGGGCTGGTCTCTGTCCCCCCACCCCACCTGGCTCACACACAGCTCTGCAGGTGGGGTCAGCAGACCAGATTGCTTGATGTTGGAATGCAAGATGAGAGGTCTTGTTGGTGACCTATCATTTTCACTGAGGGATGGGCATGGAGAGGAACCAGAGTGAGCAAGGCATGCAGTGTGCACTTTAACAGTGGGCAAAACAGGCCCCTGCCCTTATGGAGGTCACAATCTAATGGAGGAGGGAGGTTACAAGGAATGTACAAAGTATTAGGAGGACAGATACTGGCACGTGCTGTCCCAGGGAATGGGGGTTAGGAAGGCATTTCTTGGAAAGTACGGTTTGAGCTCAGAGTCAGAATAACTAGGAGTTAAGCAGATAAAGGAGGCGAGGTGGTAATTGGAGAAGAAATATATCTGTCCTTGTCCATATTACCCTATGCTAGGCAGTGCTAAGCCTTTCCCACATCACCCAAGGTGGGATAGTGGGTGGATAAGACACGTGGGCTCTCAAGACTAGCAGATTTTGAATCCTGCCTCTGCCATTTCTTGGCTGTGTGGCCTTGGGCAATTTATTATACTTGTCTTTCTGATGCTTATGATAGAAAAGGGAATGGTGAGAGTTGAAGAGAGACAAGGTTAATCCCATTTAAGGTGCTTTCTTTGGTTGCAATGTGGAAATTGGATTAGAGCAGGAGTTTAAGGAAGAAGAAGGGATTTTAGTGTTTCAGATGAGTTAAGGTGACTTGGGCCAGGTTAAAAAGTTTTGGATTTGGTTGGTGAGGGGATGGTCAAGGGTGACTCCCAGATTTCTGGCTTATGTTATTATAAGTAAGAAGAAGAATGGATGAACTCGTTAATTTATTTTCTATTTATTGTGATATATTTCATACATGCAAAAAATATTTTGTACATATTGAATTTGAAGAATAATAAAAATAAATATTTACCCCTTAGTTCACTAGAGAAAAAGAATTTGCTAATACATTTAAAGCCTTTGAGCTCCCCATCTTTCTCCCGAGAAGTAACCGATATCCTGAATTTTGGTTAATCTTGCCTTTGCTATTTACTGTTTTTACCATGTATGTATCTATTCCTAAATAATACAGTGATTGGTTTTGTATGATTTTGAACTTTATGTTTGTGTATTCTGTTTGGGGTTCATTGAACTTTTTCAATCCAAAGGTTTATAGTCTGAATAAAATTTGGAAAAATTTTTTAAAAAAGCAGACCCATCAAAAGAACAATTAACTTACCTTCCCCTCCCTGTTATCTCAATATATTACAAGAAAGAAGATCAAGAATGCAACTAGACCTGGCCCAAATCATTTTAAATACAATACCTGTCTCTCAGGTTAATTTAATTTGCAAAGAGAATCATTTACAAATCAATCTGTTTCTCCCCATCCATTCATTCTCCCAATTATCTATTCGTCCCCCCCTAGTACCATTTATTGCCCCTAAACAGAATCACTATATTTCTCATGTCCCCCTCCCCTCTAAAATGAAGAAATACAAATTTCTAGACCCCATTGGGACATTGGTTAATCATTTTGATTCTCCCCATGTGCCTGGTAAATAAATTGCTTTCTCTTATTAATCTGCCTTATTGTGAGTTGATCTTTAATCAAACCTTCCAATGCAAAGGGGAAGTTTCCTCTTACCCCCACAAAATAAATGCCTAATGAAGTTTATCAGGTGGAAGGGAAGTAGAAAATTTAAAACTTCAGGAATGAAAAAAGAGCAACAGAAATGGTAATGGTAGATACCTGGGTAAATATAACAGAATATCTTTACATCCTTAAGTCTCTTAAAAATACATATGACAGACGAAAGCAAAACTTAAAACACAGTACTTTCTGCAGTTCTTAATGTATGTTGATATAATACGTATGACAAGTATAACTTAAATGGGGGAGAGTAAAGAAACCTGTGGGGTAGTGAGGTTTCTACATTCCACTGGAAATGTTAACGTATTAATTCTAAATAGATTATAAAAAGTTAAGGGCATATATTATAACCCTGAGAGCAGCCATTAAAAAAATTATACAAGATAAAGTAAAAAACCTAATAGATAAATTAAATTGGAATACTAAAAAATTTTAATGATCTAAAATAAGACAGAAAAGGGAAACAGAGAAACAAAATCCAGAGGATACAACAGAAAACAATAAAATGGTAGAGCTCAATCTAAACATATCGATAATTATATTAAATGTAAATAGTCTAAAAACACTAATTAAAAGGCAGAGATTTTCAGATTGGATTATTTCTGAAAGACCAAACTATATGCTTTGTCTAAGAAGCCCACTTTAAAAATAATGATATAAGTGGATTAAAAGTAAAACATTGTAAAAGGATATACCATGCAAGTACTAATTAAAAGAAAGCTGGAGTGGCTTTATTAACACAAGCAGCTGTGGGACTGGGGACTATCCTGCCCAATCCATTGCAACTATCAATAACAGCAACACAGACTACTTGGGTCTTAGTAGGTGGCTCCACCACCACACTGCCACATCCCATATCACACCAGATGCTCAGAGGCCTGAGAACCCATCCACACACCCAGCTTCAGCTCCAGATACTAGCTTCTGAGCAAGCCACCTGAAGGCCCAAGAATTGTGCCCCCCACCCCAGCACACAATAACACCACTGTCAGTGTAACCTGCTCTGGGGCCTAAAATCAGGCATACTCAGCCCACTGCTTCTACTCAAAGTGCTGAATGAAAAAACTACCAATCAATAATACTTTACCTAGCAAAACTTTCAGAAATAAAGGAGAGATACAGACTTTCACAGACAAACAAAAGCTGAGGGAGTTAAACCTGCCTTACAAGAAGGGAGGTTATTCAAGCTGCGATCAAAGGACAGTAATTAGTAACATGATAATATATCAATGTATAAAACTAACTGGTAAAGGTAAATATATAATGAAATTCAGAACACTGTAATACTGTAATGAAGTTGTTTAAATCACTTTTAACTCTATTATAAATGTTAAAAGATAAAACTATTAAAAATAACTATAGCTACAATAATTGTTAGTAGATACACCATACAATAAAATGTGAATAATGACATCAAAAACATAAAATAAGGAGTAGAAG